TGTTTTAATTTTTTTCCCCTTTTCCTTTTTTTTTTTTTTTTTATAAATTTTTGGGCCCCCTTTTTTTAAAAAAAAAAAAAAAAAAAAAAAAAAAAAAAAACTAAGAAAATTAAATATGGCATTTCAATGCAGCTTACTCATAACGTTGAAAAGATTTCAAATCTTTGATAGCAATAATAGCAGCAATAGCCGTATGTGTTTTTGTTAATACTTGACGAATTTTCAATGGATTTTGTGGCTCAATTTGACAATAAGTCTTAATGACATAATGTCCTTGTGATGGTTGACATGATTGTTTCTATCCATAGCAACAACAACAACAATTCCATTATAAAAAATCGAATCAAAAAAAAAAAAAAAAATTGAAAATTAACCCAGTTACCCCCTCGGAGTGCAAAAGGTTAAACTTACATGTTCAACATATGGATAATTAGATTCTTCAACAACACCATTGATATTCATATAATGAAAACCAAGTTTTAAATCATTTAAACCACGTTGAATATTATCACCTGAACAACCATTTTGTGATGCACAATCAATTAGTTCTTGTTCAGAGAAATCATGTGAATAATTATAACGAGAAAGATATGCTGATTCAAGTGAAGCAATAGCAGCAAATGCCCAACTTGATGCACAATTTCCTTGCATACGTATTGGTGGTAATGTTCCTAATGAACGTAAATCTAATTCATCAGAAATATTCATGTTCGAATCAAATTCGCAAATAGGTGCTGTCATCAAATTTTGGTTCATTTTTGTCTGTTGTTGTTCATCCAATGGCTAAAATGATTGATTAAATTGATTGATTGAAAACTTTATGAATTTAATACACTTACCAAATCGGATATATAGGTTTTATTGAAGGCAACTTTAAATTTATCAAATGTTCGTGTCAACGATGATGGACGAGCCAAAACATTGTTGTTGAATATCAACAAAGCAGCGATGACGACAAAAATTACATTCATTTTTCAATGATTTAAATGGAAGAGAGAGAGAGAGAGAGAGAAAATATTGATTAAAATTGAGAAAAAATGTTGATGTTTAAATAGAAATCAGGAATCCAGAAATCAAAAAAATCACAAATGTTAATCTTAATCGTAATTGAACTTTGAGATTTTGTTAGATTTTATCATTCAAAAAAAACAAAAAAACATCATTTGATTATTTGTAATACCCAATATATTATTTTCTATAGAATTTTGCGATAAAAATCTTTGTTTTTTTTTAAAATCAAAATGGATCAATCAATTAAGATTCTATTCTAAAAGTCAATTTTTTTTTGTTGTTTTCATTCATTGTAAAATAACAAGGAAATTAAGGATTAAATAATTGTTCAATTTGCCATTTGATTTTTGATTGGCAGCCAGATCGTAACCGTAACCATGATCACATCCTCCATGTAATACTCGAAATTATTTTTAAAATAATCCAATAAATCTACATTTTGTACATTTTACCATAACCAATAATATTGATTGCATGATATTTTACCGGTTAACCATCACCATTATCATTTTGTTTGTTTGTTTGTTTCTGGATCGTAAAAAATTATTTTTGTTGTTTTTGTTTTTTTGAAACAAAAATCTAAAAACATCAAACAAACGAAACATTTTTTTTCTCCACTTCTAGAATTTCATATTCCATATTCCAGATTCATTACCATGGAAAAAAAGAAAGAAAGAAAATGTTTCATTTCCTTTTACATGGACAGCCAAAAAAAAGAAAAGAAAATTTCTAATTATGTTTAACAAGCCAGAAATACATTTGCTTTGTCATTTTTGTTTTTGTTTCCAGTTCCAAAGCCACCCAATATGATTGGCTTCCAATTTCCCCCACCACCACCACCACCACATCAAATTATACATTAAGAAACAAACATGATGCAAAGCAAATCCAAAACATTCGACTTGCCAAAAACTCTCTCTCCCTCTCTCTCTCTCTCTCTCTATTCGACAGTTTTGACACATTCTGTACAACAACAACAAATCTCTTTCTTGTATTTATTCATGGTTCAAGAGCAAAATGGAAATCAAAAGAAAAGCAAAAAAAAAATTCTTGACCACAACATTGATCACCAACATCAACCATATTTTTGTAATTGAAAGCCCAGATGGTAACAACAAAACAAAACAAAACAAACAAAACATCATTATTATCATACACAACATGATCAATGGAGATATTGATCAGATCAGATCAACATGATGAAGATGATCATCATCATTATTTAAATAGAATTGAAGGGCTCTCTCATTTTCCATTCGATTCAATAGAAAATTTTCTCTCTTTTTTTTCTGGCTGTAATAAAAAAAACGAAAATTACAAAAAAAAACGAAGCAATGCGGGTTAATAAAAACGAAAAAATGTTTGGTCTGTGTTTCATCTTTCAACATAATCATCATCATCATCATCATCATATAATTGACTAATGACTGATTATATTTGTAAGTAAGATGTGGGCTTCTTTCTTTTCAGGAAAAAGAAAAAACCAAAAACCAAAATCAAAAGAAAAAAAAATGTGAAAATACAAATTCAGTTTTTCGTTCTTTTCTTTCACTGATTTGACATCTCTCAATTGACAAAGATATTATACAAATCTTTTCTTCTTCTCATCTTGATGGACACATATTGTTAACATAACCGAACATTATTTTTGGGTTTGATTAAACCTTGACGTTTTTTCCCAAAACCATCAATATTTTTTTTTTGCTTGATAATCACATTGATTGACCTTTTTTGCTTTGTTTTTGATTATTGAATTATAATCAGAATATAATCAATGCTCATTAATCATGTTTTTTTCTGTTTTCTGCTGTTTAAAGCAAACAAACGAACGAAAAAAACTTTATCACCAAAAAACAAACTCTGAAGATAGATATGGTGTAGGTGGGAAAAATATCCCAATATTCATTTCGATTCGATTGAATATTCGCAAAACACACACACACTAATCAATCAATTCAAGTTCTCTCGCCATCTTTTTCCATCTTTCTTGGTCTTTTGCATCCATTTTGATACAAACTTTTCTTTCTTTTCTATGCTGACTCTGACTCTGTCTGTCGGTGATTTATTTTCATTCATTCATTATATTCATTCAGACAAACGAAAAACAGAAAAGTTTCCGTACAGAAAGAAACATTTCCGAAGAAAAAAAACAAAATTAGCTTTTAGTTTCTGGTAAAAAGATTCTAATTGTCAATGAATAATGGTGGTTGATGGAATCATCAATGAAGAAACAAAAAAACAAAAACTTGAAAACCATCCATATAGACAAACAAAGGGTTAAAATTTCAAACTTTCATTCCTTGAAAAATTATCAAAAAAGAATCGAATGATAAAAAACAAAGAACAGCAAATATTTGAACGAAATGAATCTTAATTATATCAACATTTTACGTTACTTTACTTTGATTTTACTTTAATTTTTTCTTATTTTTCTTACCTCATTCATTCACACACATTATCTATCTACAATGTTTTTCTTTCTTTGTTTTTTTAGCGGTGGGGGAAGGAGAGATATCCCAAGTGATTAATAAATCTATTCATCGAATCATTTTCGGATGATGATGATGAAAAACATTTAAACATTAAAAAACAAACAGAGAGTGAAATAAAAGTTCCAAAAAACGAAAACTGATAGCATTTGAAACTTTTCTTTTGGCTTTTCCAAAATAAAAATCATTCATTGATTCGAATCGATTGATCAGAAATCTTTAAATAATTTTTCTTTAAAGTTTTTGTTTCATTGCTTTTGGTCATTGATCTTGATTTGTATCGACAAAGATTACCAGTTTTACAAATCAAATTAAAAATTAATAAAGAAATTTTCTCTTCTTCCAGGTTCTATACCAGAAATCGATGATTACAAACAACATTTACGATAGCCAAAAACGATTCTCTAAAATTTTCTTTGATCCAATGTTGTAAAAGTGTAATTACACACACACATACAGCAATTGTTTGTTTGTTTGTTTGTCACATTTGGTAATCGTTTTATATCGTTTCAATACGATGTCAACAACAACAACAAGGGATCCATTTATCAGCAACAATAACAACAACAACAACAAAACGGTCAATAACAACTCAATAAATGAATGAGAGCGATCTTCTCTTCTTCTCAAATGGCTAAATAAACATTTTGATGATGATGATCATTTGTTTGGTTTTTAAATGTTTTGTCATTATATTTTCGAGAATTATTTTCCACAATACAAAATACAAATCGAAACGTTGTTTATGAACGTTGTTGGTTAATGGTTTTGGCCCAAAATTGAGTTCGAAATTACCCAAAATTATCATCATCAGTGAATATTCAAATCATTATCGTTGTTTATTGTATAATAATTAATCTTGTTTTCAAAATTAACATTAATGATGATGATAATAATGATTAAAGGTTAAAATTCTTTCTTTCTGTTCAGAGCAGATGATATTTTAAGATATTACATAATAATCTTGCAAGCTGTATCATCAATTTTGTTTTTGTTTTTCAAACAAAACTTTTGAATTGCGTAATTTATTATAGCCAGGAACAATATCTGAGTCTAATATGATGTGTAATAAGTATCGATATGTCGGGTCAATCCAATTTTTTCAATATTGATGATATCGATTCTTTTCAAGCGCAGCCAAAAGAGAAAAGAAAATTTTCAATTCAATCATCAGCCATCATCTGAAAAATGAAAGAAGAAATTATTATTCATTGAAAACAATAAACTTTCATTTGAATTTTTTTGAAGAAGAAATTCGTAAAACTGTAAAAAAACCTATTTTCATCATTCAAACAAACTCAGAGAAAAAAAAAGTTGATGAAATTTTTCTTTCTTTTTTGGATTTACTTACTTAATGTGCTCAACTTTTTCATTTATTCAGTATCTTTTTTGGGGGGAGAATGATAAAATGACAATGATAAATGTTCGAATGTTTGGTCGTTGGTATTTTGAAATGATAATAATGTTTTGTTGTTGAAATGTATTCTCTTGGTTCGTTTTTTGGTTGGGGGCAATCTTTAGAGCGAGGTTTATTTGATGATTTCACCACCATTTTCAATTCGATTTTTTTCGCCAAAAAAAAACATTCGATGATGATGATGATGATATACTTGTGTGTGTGTTTTGTTTAATTCTTACTAAATTATTTATAATTAAAAATGGTATCGCAACAAAAATAAAAGAAAGAAAAAACAAAATAAATAATTCATATCAATTAGGATGAATTCGACAAAAACGAAACGAGAAAAACCAAGAATTTCTTTCGATGAATAATATTCTTCGTTTTTTTTTCGTTTTCAATTCGAATCTTTTTTTTTGCGTTCGAATTTTTTTTTTGCCATTGTTTCTTGTGGCCGGGAACTTTTTCTTTCACTTTTCTGTTTTCGTTTTCGGGAACTATTATTTCTTGAAAAGTTTTTCCTTCCCCCCTCAGTCGACAAAAACCCATCATCATTTTTTGTTTGAATTTGTTTTTTTGTTTTCGGTTTGAAAACAACGAAAAAAAACAAACCAAATTACATCAAATTCGCATAAAATCTATTATTATTATTTGTGACGTAAGATGATGATCATCATTGTAAATGGAGAAAAATTTGAAATTGGAAAAAAATATATCCATGAATTCTTCAACTGGCCCCCCATGTAAATATTCTCCACCACGGCCAAAAAAAAGGTTATAATTTATGTATGTATTTCTTGCAAATATTTTATTTTAATAATTTCATTTTTTTTCATTTGTTTTGAAAATCAATTTTTAAAAAATTTTGGAAAAGAATTTTTTTGGAAAATATTTTACCGGGAATTTTCTCACTACATTCGAATATTCGAATATTATTATTATTGGTTGGCAAACAAAAAACAAAACAAAAAAACAAAATGGAAAAAAAATAAATTTTTTAATTGTTGTTTTCAAAGTCTTAAAACTATCCATCCAAAATCAAATCAAATCAACAACAACAAACTGGATTGATCGATTGTATTGAGGAAAATTCATTCATTCATTCATTCACCGGTCCAAAAATTTTTTTTCATTGAAGTGGATGACGAAAATTTTTTCCAGCATATTTAGCTTTTGAACCTAATTCTTCTTCAATACGAAGAATTTGATTATATTTAGCTAAACGTTCGGAACGACATGGTGCACCAGTTTTTATTTGACCAGTTGATAAACCAACAACCAGATCGGCAATAAATGTATCTTCAGTTTCACCTGAACGATGTGATACCATTGTTCCCCAACCATTTGTTCTGGCCAATAAATGTCTATTTAACACAAAAATGAACCCAAAAATTCATCATCATTTTCATCATAAAACAAAACAAAAACAACTTACGCTTGTATTGATTCACTAACTGTACCAATTTGATTAACTTTCAATAATAAACAATTACAGCATTTCTTTTCGGCTGCTGTTTGTATACGTTTTGGATTGGTTACGGTCAAATCATCACTAAGGTTAGGATAAACAAACATTTATCAATGAAATTTGAAAATGATCATCAGGGTTAAACTCACCCAACAACTTGGATATTGACTGTACTGGTAAAACCAGTCCAATCATCCCATGCATCTTGTTCGAATGGATCTTCAATCGAAACAATTGGATAATCTTTAACAAAACCACGATAAACATCAGCCAATTGTACTGGTTGTAGCCATGCTGATTTATCGGAATTTGGATTTTTAAAATCCAAATCATATTTTCCTTCACGATAAAATTCCGAAGCAGCAACATCCATACCGATATCAATTTTACCGGAATAACCAGCCATCTGTATAGCGGTCATAATCAAATCTAAAGCTTCTTTATTACTTTGAATATTTGGTGCAAAACCACCTTCATCACCAACACAAGTAGCATCCAAACCATAACGTTGTTTAATAACATTTTTTAAATGATGATAAACTTCTGAACCCATTTTCATTGCCTGTGTGAATGATGATGCACCTGTTGGTAAAATCATAAATTCTTGCATAGCCAAACGATTACCAGCATGTGAACCACCATTAATAACATTGAATGCCGGAACAGGTAAAACAAATTCTTTAATACCAGCCAAATCAGCCAAATGTTGATATAATGGTACACGTTTTTTTGCAGCACCAGCTTTAGCAATGGCTAATGAAACACCAAGAATAGCATTACCACCAAGATTTGATTTGTTTGGTGTATTATCCAATTTGATTAAAAATTCATCAACTTCTTTTTGTTGTGTAACATCAAGACCCTTATTTTGGAAACAATCAACAATTAGCAATTAATCAATGGGAAATGGTAAGGATCATCATTATTTTTGCTTACCTGACTAATCAATTTTGGTGCAATAACATTATTAACATTGGCAATAGCCTTCAAAACAGATTTACCATGATAATTGGCTTTATCTTTATCACGAAGTTCTAATGCTTCGTGGATACCGGTCGATGCACCACTTGGTACAGCGGCACGAAAAACACCTATAGAAAACACAAAACAGATGAAAAAGATTGTCAAAATCAAATCTGGTCACATCAATCGAATCAAATCAAACAATAATTTACCAAAATCAGTTGTCAAATCAACTTCCAATGTTGGATTACCACGTGAATCAAAAATTTGACGTGCATAAATTTTTAAAATGGACATTTTGAAGAATTTTGTTGTATTGGAATATAATTTCTTGACGATAATAATTAGAAATTAAGCGGCTAAACTTGTTTACTTTGAATGACGGCGAAGTTGACTTTGAAACAATTTACTCAATGACAGTTTTATATTGGATATTTATATAGACGCGCGCGTGTTGAACAGAACAACAAAAAATTCTAAATGCGACGGCGCCGTTCGAATATTCGATTAGCACATCACGTCATGTTATTATGAAAAAAAAACATTCGAAAAAAAAAGAATTTTTTTTTTCGAATGATATTATCGTATGATATGGAAATTTTTGTTGTTGTTGATAATATGACCTTATTGTTTTTGACAATGATGGAAAAATAAAAAATGTCATAATCATTCAAGTGATGAAAAGATAATAATGTTTTTCAAGTATAAATGGGTTATTATCAATGTTTTTCGGATATGACCGAAAGCTCTATTGATACGAAAAGAATCTTATCTCGAATGTTCGATTCAAGAAGATAATTCAGTTCTTTACATAATTATCATCATTATCATTATCATCCATCGTACATTGATCTCCATTAATGTCAATAAAAATTTAATGATTTTATCAATTTTATAAATTTCCATTGATAAAATTCTTTCAAAGGACAAGGGAAATTAATTTGCATTTGTAATTATGAACAAAAGATGGCACTACAAGAGAATTTCGAAAGAATGATAATTTTTTGGCTCATCGAAGAAAAAATTTGTTTTGACATTTTTTTTGTTTGTTTGGTAAAATGAGATGATTTAATCATCATCAAAAATCAAATTTCATCAAATCATGGGTTCCATAACGGATGAATGGTAAGTTTTTTTGCAATTTTTCTGATTCTGAGTTTTGATTTTCCAAAAAAAAAGGTTAAAAGATGTTGAAAGTATTGATGAATTTGCCGATCAACTAATGCATAAAATTAATCAACGTAATCAATATCCAACAAATACGCCGGCATTTGCAAAGGTTTGTTGTTCATTTGAATTTGGTTTGAGTTTTTCCCAGTTTTTATTCATTTGATTTTCAAATTTCGGCAGAGTGATTTATATATAAAAGATTTATTTCGAAAATTTCAACGTAAAATTGGTCAACTGCAAGAAACGCTAAATCAATTGGCAACAACAAATAAATTGTAAGTTTGCTTTAAAACCAAGGAAATTTTCAATTTGAATTTTGAAAATTTCCTTTTTATTTTTTGCACTTAGAACACAACGTGAAAAAGAACGCCGACAACGATTAGTTGATCAATTTAATGATCGATGTAAAAAAATTGAAACATTTTTACAGAATCCTAGACATTCCTCATTGTTAAATAATTATGAATCATCATCATCACAACAACAAGCACCAATTGTTAGTTGGAATGATGGTTTAAATGTATCGGATTCAACCACAAATCGATTTGAAAATGTTTCCAAAATGAAAGAAATTCAACAAAATTTGTTTAAAGGTTTGTGTTTGTTGATTGAATCAATTGATCAAATTGACAAATCATGGTTCTATTTCTATATACAGAACAGGATCAAAATATAGATTCATTGACCAATGTTATAACAAGACAAAAATATTTGGCACGTGAAATTGATTCTGAACTTACTGTACAAAATGGTTAGTAGTGATGTTAATTAAGGATTAGTTAGACAAACTAAATGTTAATTACCCATTTTATAATTCCCAAATGATTTCTAATTGAAAAAATTACATTTTTTGTTTTTGTTTTTAGAAATTTTGGAAGATATTGGTGAAGCAATGGATGATAATACTGAACGTTTACTTCGTAATACACGGAATATTCGTTTTGTTACACGTGAAAGTGGTACATGTGGTATGTATTTTTGTTTGTTTTTTGTCAACTTTAAAAACTTGAATAATTTTTCTTCTTTTTCTCTAGCATATTGGACAATAATTATATTATTATTGATTGCCATTTTGGTAGTCAGTATTGTGCCTAATTAACCATTGATAAAAATTTTGTTATTTACAATTTTTTTTTGATAAAATTTACTTTGATTTTTCTTCAACTTGAAAAAAGCTCAAAAAGTTATGAATGGGAAAACAGCAACAAAATCATTATTTCAGCATCGGATTTTTTTTTGAATTCGATGTAATACGGAGTTTTGTCTTTTTGCTTAATGATTATAAATTTATATTTTTTGATTTTTATTATTAAATATATCAACTTTGTTTAAAAAAAACGTCGTTGATCTTTTAAACATCGACTGTATTATCTTTGAGCTGGCTTCGAGTATTATTTCGAGGAATAAAGAATGTTTCGGATGGGATAAAGCTTTTCGACTTTATCATTTTCATTTTTTGGTTGGTTCCCGCGGAAACAACGAACAACAGGATTTTTCACTGAAAATTATTATTTTTTTAGTTTTTTCGAACGAAAGAAAGCTTAAAAGATTAGGAAATTACTCTATACACAGAGAGAGATTCTGTCGACAACAACAACGTGTTGTTGTTTAGTTCGTTATTTCATTTTTGTTTTTCAAATGAAAAAAAACTAGCTTGGTAAATCAGAAAAGGAAAATTCACAATTTATCTTACTTTCATTTTTTTTTCTGGTCGGTCCTGTTATTTTCCGATTCGAACGCGAATCACAAAGATTTGAAAAAAAACCGTTTTTCCTCACTTGCTCTCCATAATTTTTTTTGATTCATTACCAAAACTTTAATTCGGATTCAGGGAAAAAATCCAAGCAGTCGGTCTTTGTGTGTTTGTATTGTTTATCGCCATAAAACGATGTTGTTTTTTTTTGTTGCTTCGTTTATAATTAATTTACTTCTTGAAAAGCCCATTATGATGATTATGACTTGGATGATGATTATGATGATGAAATTTGCATATTTTTCCCCTTAAAAACAAAAAATATTGTTTTTTTGTTTGTTTGAAAATATTAATTTACTTTACCCCCATACTCATCATCTTTATTTTTTTTAAAAAAAAGTGTTACTAATAGAGAAACTTTATGGAAACAAAAAAAAAATCTTTAAAATTTCTCACTTAAATTCATTCATTTGGTTTGGTTTTTTTCTCTCTCTGTTTGAATGTAACAGATCTCATAGACACCGAAAACACAGAAACAGAAACACATCATTTTGCGAAATAAAATTCCGCAAAAATAATTTATCTTTATTTTCATTTGTGCTTGCAAATAGTATCTAAATATGACATTTTGACATAAGATCTTCACATACACACAGAGGGTATATTTGCTATTACACACTGGTATCTTGTAATTTTTTTTCTTTTCTTCTTAATAAAATGATTCATTTCACGGGGAGAGAGATGTGGAAAATGAATGTGAAAACAATTTTTCAAGTGTCATCTTTACCCAAAAAATTCTACCCCTTTTCATAATTTTTTTTCAATTTCATCCATATTCAAAGCAATGAAGGAAAAACTCAACATTGACATTGATATGCTGTTTGGAATTTCTTCATTTCATTACGTTTCGTTTAAGGAAAGAACATTTTTAATATTCTTGTGTTTGGCCATCCCTTTCATTATAATTGCCATAATTTTCAATATCATCAACAACACTGATTTTTGACATATTTTAATCAACATTTTTTCACTCAATTCAGTTCATACAACACACGATCACTGATCAAATCAAGGAAAAAATGTTTGCATAAATTTAATAATTTTTTTTGGAAGGGGGGAGGGGGGAAATGAATGAAGGAATCAACATCATTTTGAATGAATGTAACCACCAACAAGAATACTAAGAAGAAGATGAAGACATTTCATTTTTCATTATCTTATTTTTGGTGTGTTTGTCATTCAAATGTTGTTTTGGTTGTTTTGGTTGTTGAAAGTGTTAATGTCTTTGAAGTGTGTGTGAATGATGATGATGATGATGATGATGTTTTTGAAAAGTAACATAGGTTTTTTCTTTTGACACCGGTCTGATGATATTTTATTGAAATTGATAACACTTGGGGAGACTGGAGGGGGTAAAAATCAACATTATTCTTATTTTCGGGAATGACTTGTGTATTTTATATGTGGATGATGATCAATAATCAATAATAATAAGGGTAAAATGGATTACCATTTTCCCTTGTAAACATAACCACACATATTACAAAGATTTTTCATGTTTTTCATCAGCATATTTCATTTGTTTTTTTTTGTTCGCTGTTGTTGTCTATCTATAATGATTTGTTTTTGTTTTTTGTTGTTTTTTCAAGATTTTTCTTTCTTTCATCCATTTGGTTTATAGTCACGCGAGACAAAATAATGTCAAAATAATGATGATGTCAACGTGTTAAAAACAAACAAACCAAAAAAACGTATCGCGATAACCAAACAAAACATTGGTTATTATGTGTTAACCAGCCAGACAAACATCTGTCCATTTTGAATTTTTTTGTTTGAAATGAATTTTTCAAAACATTATCTGTGTTTAGGGTTTATCTAATAGATTCATTCGATGGAAACAAAAATCTTTGAACAACAAAAGAAAAATGCTCAAAATTTTCCGAACAACCAAAAGAAACAGAAAATATAAATCATATATATTCTCTTATTTCCATAAAAGTATTAAAAGTGCATCTCTCTTTTTTTTGGCTTTATGTTTCTTTTCTTTCTTCTTTTTCACACTTTTTTTTGAATTCTCTTTTCATTTTTTTTGTTGTTTTTCGGATTTTCTTGTTGTTGTTGGTGGTGGATCGAACATTATCATCTTCATAAACATCATCATAAACAACCCAAACAAACAAACAACCCAAAAACGACAAATATGCCAATTTTTTTTTCTGTTTTGCTTTATGATTCTGACTGGCTGACTATAAAGAGGAAAAGAATTTGTTTGATAAGAAAGAATTATTTATTTATTCATATTTGGCTAATACCTACATACAAAAAAGAATCAGTTTTTGATTCTTTCTTTTTTTTTGAAAAGAAAAGAAGAAAGAATTGGAAAGAAAAAACAGAATTGAAAAACAAAACCTATACAAAAAAAAGATCATTCGATTTGTCAATATGGATTTTAAAAGTTTTTCGTTCGTTCGTTTGATTAAAACTTTGTTTTTTTTACAAAACAAATATCCACCATTGTTAAAATAGTTGATCAACTATATCAACAATGATTGGTGTTAATTTAGCCACACAACAAAAAAAGTAATTAAGATAACCATTAAGGTTATTATCTATTTATTATTTACCTTTACCTATTTTATTTTTATTGACTTTCATTATCATTATTATCAGCCGCAAAATAAACTAAAATATATTATTTTCGGATCCCAAAAAACAAGCTTGTCCGGAATATTTTTGGTCAGTCGTTCGGAATGTTTTGGTCGGTCGTTCGGTATTTTTATTATGATTTATTCTAATCGATAACATTGTAACCATTGTTATGACGTGATCTATGTGATGATCTATGATGACCATCATAACCAAAATGATAATAATGATAATCAAGAGAATTGAATAGGAAAAAAAAAATGGTCGCCAATAATTTTTCCATTCATTCATTTAACAGGTTCCTTTCAATTAATTCGATGTTTTGTTCGTTTTTATTTGTTGAATTTCCTCAATGTTTTTTACTTTTTTCTTTCCCCAGGATAATGTGATTGATTTTCATTAATAATTATTATTCAACGCTAACGACGACAGTGGTTTTTACCTATTATGTATTGACCTTTTTTTCTTTCTTCCTCTGCTGTGTATGGACAAACACCCTACAACAAAAAAAACCCAAAAAGTGATTTTTTTCTCATTGTTTTGGTGAATCCAGAATCTGTGCTGTACATTCATCATCCACCAAAACAAAACAAAAACAAACAACCATTGTCATCATCATCATTATTACATAGTTGTCAAATGTCATTTTCATTCATTCATTCATTTTTTGGATGGGGGGGAAAGAAAAAAATATTCTTTCCTTTGTGTTTTCCTCTTGTTTTGTTTTGCCTGTAAAAAAGCAATTTTATGCATTATATAATACATAATCTATAGCCGTTCTAGTCGTTGTTTAACATTGTCTATTGGTCGATTGTTTATTGTGTGTGTGTGTGTGTGTGACAATGACAATCGACCAATACACACACACATTATGTTTGTTTGTTTGTTTCATAAAATCATCATCATCATTATTATCAAAATGTGTTTATCGGGTCGCGGTTATTCGTTATTCGTCGCGGTTATTATTCGTTTTCGTTCATCTATAACTAATAAATTACTTTATTATCTTTTGTTTTCTTTTTTTTCTTTTTGGTTCCATATTCGTGTGTGTGTGACTTTATATTCCGATTCTTTGCTTGGTTTTGTTGTTTTTTGTTTTGTTTTGTGGTTTTCATTCATTCATTCGATTGACTTTCAATGTTGTTTATGATTGTTGTTTTCGTTGACTATCATTGTATCTCTCTTTTTATAATAATAAATATTATTCTTTCTCTTTATATTTACCCCAAGTCATTATTGTTATTAGTCTTTCTCTCTCTCTCTCACTATATTGATAAATTATTATAAACTTTTCTCACGCACTTTTCATCTTTTTTTTCGCTCCCCCTTTGTTCGAAAATATAGAATATAGACCTGATCATGAAATATCGTTGTTGTTTTTTTTTTTCGTTTGTGGTTTGGTTTGATCAAAATCAAACACCAAAAAAATGAGATAGGTAAATATGGACTATCAGTGTGTGTGTGTGTGTTCCACATTTATATGTTTCTCTAGTCTGATTCAGGTAATATGTTTATCCGGTTGATCATCATCATTGTCAATTTTAACTAAAAGATACGAATGTTTCACAGCAAAAAAAATTGGTTCCTAATCAACAACAGAAAAAACCGTCATGAAATTTGCACGAATGATGATGACTTTTGGATGGAAAAGGAAAAAAACAAAAGATTCCAAAAAGTCAATGATGATGATGATGATATGATCATAGTCACTATGGGTTAATGAAGATAATTCATTCATTTTGGTTCTGTCTTTTTCCTTTGTTTTGTTTTGTTTTCATTTCATTTTTTTTTCATTATTTAATAAATCAACACGCAAACACGAGCTTAATAATTTATCTTCTTTTCATCATTGTTCCGGTTGTCATCACAATATTTGTGTTAAATACATGTATGGTCCATTCATAGATCAAGTGAAAAAAAATGGAAAAAAAGAGTT